GATGCATTTGACTGTGGAGGATTTGCGTTTTAGTTTTGACTAGAAAGACTGAGAGAGAAACTGTTTCAAAGACCCTTTTCTTCTCATTGAAATCCCTGTGTTGGTATTCCTTTAAGATATAAGGGCATTGTAATTAATTAATCACTCATTTGTTATCTATGCGTCTAATTTATAAATTAATGAAGGTGTTCTTCCTGTCTTTACGCCCATGCTCCTCAGGTAAATCATTCATGATCGTGACTCCTCTGAACACTGTCTGTCTGTGTTGTATCAGTCTTTCCATGCCTCAGGACGGCTTGAGGTTAACTCAGTGAGCAGTGTGGAGGTTCCAGACAGCCACACTGACGTTTATGAGGACATTTTAGTCTTTTAAAGAAATACTTTACCCACAAAATGACTATTTGTATAACAGTTACTCACCCAGTGTTACCTTGAATTCATGAAGAAAACTTTGTTTCTTGCATGCCCTAAAGGTGAATGAAGAATCCAAAGACAGACGTTTAACTGCAGCAAAATGATGTCAAAACACACAACTTGTGTAGTATAATCCAAGTCTCTTTTGTGCAGCTGTATTTGGTGCCATGCCAATATTCCGACGGCCCAAAATTCCAAAGCCCCATAATCCTGAAAAAAGTCGCATCCACAGTTCTGTTTCTCAGAAAATACACACTCTCTGCAGTTAGCATTTCTCAGTTGTCCAAGCCACCAATTGTGAGTGTTTTAACCGAACCTTTCGGCATTTCACAGTAACATTTGAGACACCGATCCCTGTCTTTTTTTACCAACCCTTTGCAGTTTCTCAGTGGTGTTTGAGCTACTGATCACTTGTTTTTTTTCTCCAAACCTTTGCAGTGTTTCCCAGTGGCATGTGAGCCACCGAACCAAGGTGTTTTTCATCAACCCTTCCCTGCTTTTACAGTGACTTGTGCCGCCACACGTGGGTGTTTTAAGCCAAAACATGATCATTTTCCAACCATAACCAAGTGTTTTTTGTGCTTAAACCTGACCACACATTCACCACAGTATTGTTGAAAAAATGTAAGGTAGCCATGGTTTACAGAAACTTACAATGCAAACATTGCTTCTGGCGATTGAGTTGTCCAACTGTAGGGAGTGTGTATTTTCAGAGAAAAGGGACTTGGGAGCAATGGGCAATTGCTTTTGGCATAACAGGCTGTAAGAGAAATGGCCAAACAGAATTTTGGGCCATCTGAACAATGGCCCTGCCATTTTGTGGGGCAGTTGTGTTTCTCTGCCGTTGGTCTCATCATTGTTCATTTAATAATTTTTTTTTTAAGGTTTGACCTCTGTGAATATTTATCCATATTCTTGGCACTTTGCTTGGTTCCTTTTGCCCTGCTTTTAGAAACCACCCCCATTACCCACCATCTGCACAAACCAGTATCTCACATGAAATGCAGTCCAAAGGCGAACTCTAAATAAATCCTGCTGTCACCATGACCGTGCGTCTTTCTCTCTACATCCATCTGCTGTTTGCTGGCTGGCATGGAGCCGCAGTGCAGACAGCAGGCCAAGGGTTGGAGAGGAGGGATGATGGAGCAGATTTGCACAAGAGGGGGATATGCAGAGCCTGAACAGCCATGTGTGCTTATGTGGGATTTTGTCGAACAGTAAAAAAATAATCTCATGGGTTTATAGCTCATGTGTTGGATTTGGAGTTGTATACGAGCTTGTGTGCGCTCTCAGTTTTTACACCCGAATGGGCTTCATGTGCGGCGATGAACATCCAGAAAAACCTTCTTTTGTCACATACAAGAAGGACTTGACTGACACAGTGATCATGATGCCATAAATGAAGAGAAATTGTTATTTTACACACAGATAAATATAAATCATTGACATCCTGGAGAATACTTCCCATCAAAATATAAATATAACTGCTTAGAAGTAGTTTTTGATAATCTTTAGTTTATCTTTCCACACATATCACTATGTTTATCATATCATGAATGTTGTGCAATACATCAAAGCCTTGTTGCATAATATTGGCATGACTGCCAACCAGGCCAAACAGCCTCTGAAAGGAGCAAGTTGTGTGGGTTGGTAATTATAGTTAAATATACAGTAGATACAAATGTGTTTGACAACATGCACTACTAAGGCACAGGTTAAAGTAAATGGTGTTGCAGCTCTGTCTTTAAAGTTTAAGAGTTAAAATTGAGTTTTAAGAGCTTTAAACACAAAACTAGAGACTGGCAGAAAGTAATTCAGTATGAGAGACCAACAAGGAGATGACGAGAATACAAAGTGCAGAGAATGTTATGGGATTTTCAATTAACTGTGATGTTGGCAGTGCTGGTCTTAGCTTTGCTGTGGCTATTTAGCATGAAAACCCACACACATATGAAATCTGTCAAAGTTCGGCAATTAATCAGTTTAATTCTTTTAGTTTGTATAATCGTGAATGTTGCAGTCTGATAAATCACATCTTGGTCCAGCTCAGTGAAATTTCGAGGCCTGTGATGATACTGTAACTGGGCTGGCAGTGGATCATTATTCAGTGAAGGAGCCCCTGGTGCAGCAGGCAGATAACTTCAGTGGCAGAGTGCAAAAACAGACTTAACTCAAATTTACCAAGAACAAACAAAGGGTGCATTCAAATCTCTTATCAATGAAAACAGTGATTCCTTTACAGTGTCTTGCATGTAGCTTTTTGAGTGTCAACCCAATTGGCAGAATAAAATGTTGGCCTTGTATGTCTCTGCAAACCATGGATACGTTATATTTGTACATTATCACGTGACGGATATGTTGAAACTTTACCTTTTTTTTTAAATTTAAAAAAGCTGTGGTTATCGTGCGGCTGTGTTTAGGCAGAAAAAGCACAATACCAGCTTTTGGTAGCTGCAAACAGAGCAATGTTTAGGTTTTTATTCATGTTCATTTGGGCTGCTGTTATAGTTTATGCTTTTGATCGCATTTGATTACTCTCTTCATATCTCATTTATTATAAAGCTGTGTTTTAAGTTTTACAGAGTCTGTCTTCTATTTGCTGCTGCTCTGTTGACCTGGCCACTGTGTAAATTAATAAAACAATAATTTTTCTCCATATTGTTAGGTTTGGGGATCAGTAATGGACATTAAACACTGACAACGCTCACAGATTATGGGATGGATGCAACAGGATAGGAGAGCGAATGTAGAAGATTTAACACAGTCAAAGGTGTGTTTTCACATTTAGCAACCTAAACGGGACCAAACAAAACAGTATCTTTGGCATTAAAATTTTGACACACACAATAGATGCTAAGAGGAGCAGCCAGACAAAAAGAAGATCAGAATTTTGACCAAATCAGATTTTACAGATTAATTTACAGAATAAACAAGATGAATGATAGTGTGAAAGCTTTGTGGGACTGGTTGCCGCGTTTATCTCTCTCTCTTCAGCCACATCCTTTAATCCTCACCTCTTTCTAATGATGCAAAATAAACATAGAACATGTTACATAACTGTTTGACATGCTGACGCTCGACTCATAGGCTTCATTTACTAAGATACAACACACAGTATGTTATGCTGAATTACACTTTTATTTGAGTGCAGCGTGCATGGTAATTTAGGCTAATAAAAAAGATTATTTCAGTAATGAGTATTTGCACTTTGCCACTGTATGTATGTGGCTGCTGTTATGATTTTGTGCTGTGTTTTTTATTGTCAATGGCAATGAGCCTCAGAGTTTATTGTTTTTAGACCACAGTGATTGTAACTACTACTGTGCAGATGCATATTGTATTTCTACTCTTCGCATTACTTCAATCAATCTTTTGGTGAAAACAAAGATCAACAGGGGCCCATCTGCTAGTTTTTGTCCCCCCAGCATGTTATTCCAGTCATGACTACTGGCCTCCTGTTGACAGTACAGGTTCAACCCAAACCACAGACACATTACATTTGCATGTTTTTATGTGGCGCATATTGAAACTTTACATTTCCACAACCCTGTGGTTAACATGTGGCTATGTTCAGCCACAGAAACCACTTGGTTATGGGTAGGAAAAGATAATGTTTTGGCTTAAAATACCCAGTTTTGGGGGCACAATCCTTGGCAGGAAACGCAGCAATGTTACAGGAGAAAACAAGCACTTTTCTTGGTACTATCCCAGCTGGAAAAACAACAAGGGGTTGCTACAAAACACCCATGTTTGGGGGCTAAAAAGCAGCTGTAAAAAGAGGCATGGCTTGCTAAAAAACACTCACCTCTGGGGGCTATAAAGCTGCAGGAAAAACAGCGACATGTCCCTAAAAAACACTCAGGTTTAGTGCCTAGAAAGCCATTGGAAACACATCAATGGTTCGCTAAAAAAATAACCACTTTTCATGGCCCTATCCCTGCTGGAAAAACAGTGACAGGTCACCAAAAATCATTCATTATTGGGGGCTGCAGCAATTACAGAACAACAAGTTTTGTTGTTTGTTGGTATGGAACAGTGGTCTGCAGCTTGGCAGCCATCTCGCCTTGGTGTCACACCATCCACCATCCCCTCCACCTCCTGATGACAAAATCAGCTCATATACTATGTCCCTTTAGAAATGTTGATATGATACATATGAAATGTGCAAATATTAATGTATTCATGATTTGCAGAAGTGTACAATATCATTTTCTTCAGGCGACTGGGCTGCAGGTTTCTCATTTTTTAAACAGTTTCAGCATGATAACAATACTCCAAAGTTAATGATTTTCTGTTTTTTTTTAAACGAACTTTGAAACATTTAGTAAAAGAAGTGCTAAAAGTGCATGTTCATTCCTGTCAGTTGGAGAGAAGAAGTGAATGACATGACAAATGAGATATTAGCTTTGACAGCCTCGCTTCACACTGGCTTTTAGTCAATAAAAACACTAATCAGGTGAAGGTGAACTGACATAAACTGTTTAGTCACATGGTTCACCTGTGGCCTAATGCAGTGCTCCTGCCAACAACCTGTTACACATAAACATATTCAGATATAAACACCACTCACAGGATAAAAGCGGGTAGAGATCTGTTGACCAGCGCAGAGTCAAGAAGACAAGGTGTAAAGAGCATGATGGAGTTTTCTGCATCAATGATTTTGGCAGGGCTCATTTTAGCTCTGCTGTGGTTGTTTAGTGTCAAGAACAGTAGGAAGCATCGTTTGCCTCCAGGACCCTTTGCACTTCCTCTCATAGGAAACCTGCCACAGCTGCAGAAAAATGCACCTTTTAAAAGCTTCATCAAGGTAAGAATTTATTTTGCACTATTCACACTGACTGAGGGCTGTATAATAATGTACTCTGTCATTTGAGAAGAATATTCTCCTCTTTAATCAGTCGAACAGAATTAGATTTTGGATTGCACGTTTACTTTTGCACAGATCACATTTGCATCACAATGTTTCCTAATAAATCATGTCTTTTTGTAGCTCAGTGAAACCTACGGCCCTCTGATGACATTGCACCTGGGCTGGCAGAGGACAGTTGTATTGGTGGGATATGACGCAGTGAAGGAGGCTCTGGTGGACCAAGCAGACGACTTCAAAGGCAGAGGACCACTGCCATTTCTGCTCAAGGCTACCAAGGGCTACGGTAACACAAGACACTTGAAAATCTGTCACCTCTGTCAAGGGATCAGTGATTTTCAATTGTTTCGTGCCTGCATGTCTCTGTATCTACATGACAAACAAGCACACATTTCCTTTTGTCAGGTTTGGGAATCAGTAATGGAGAGCGTTGGCGGCAGCTGCGACGTTTCACTTTGACCACGCTGAGAGACTTTGGGATGGGACGCAAGGGGATGGAAGAGTGGATCCAAGAGGAGAGCAAACACATGAGGGCCCGCATAGATACATTCAAAGGTGTGTTTTCAGTTGTGCAAGAGCACATATTTCACACAGGGTTGATGTGAAAGGGGATTATTACATAATCTGTCAAATTACATTTACTTTGAACTGTGCTGAGTCACAGCTTAAGTCCTGTTCCAGTACAGCACAATGAAATATGACCAACAAGAAATTCAGCATTACATCTGGGATTTGAGATACGCTGAAAGCAAGGGGCGTAGGCTTTGTTTCAACACTGATTGTGGGGGGCAAATTTCCTGCATTCTGTTGAATTTATATGCACCAATTTGTGCCTTTTCTGCATGAATGTATGGGGTAAATTAGTCTTGGGTAGTTTCAAGGTATTATGACATACCAAGGTATTTAGAAATCCTGAATGTATGATTTTCAGTACCATCAAAAATATACACACTCCTCTTTCTATTAAACCGATATGGCTGTACCCCAATGCTGTATTGGGGTAATGTGGTGTAGTGCACAACATGCGCCACCAGAGATCAGTCTCTACTGGTGGAATGGGCAACTGAGCCAAAAAACATGCCAACTGCCAGGGTGTGGGGAAAATGTTAGAGGACTACTGTTTGGGAGTATTGCCACATATAACTTTATCTTGTGATGACGTCCTCTGAGCTTATTCCCTATCTGTTTATTATTCTATGGGCCATAAGTATTTGGACTCAGCTAAATGTGTCTAAGTAGGCTATTGTATATAAGAAACACAGCACTGTAGGCTAGACCATGAGATACATACTTCAGTGACTTGATAAGCAGCAACTCAGCGTTTACACACATACTAGCTACTACAGTATATACACATGTGAAATGTCAGGTAAGTGTTAAGGTATAAAAAAATAGATACTGCCCAAGCCTAGAGTAAATATATTTAATTTTGTCAAAATAAAAGTCCTTTCTTGCTTACATTAATTTATTAGGGTGACAAATGCATATTCTAAATATTGAGGGTGACAAGTCCCCTGCATCCCACCTGAAATACATTCCTATGCAAAAACACCTTATCAGTCATAAACACCTCTAGCAAAAATTTAATTATTGTCTGTATTAATATGTATGACTGCACAAGGCATACTGTAGATCTAAAGTTGACAACTGCAAAGAGAGTGTGGAAGCTTTGTTAGATTGCTCGGTGTGTTTATATCTCTTGCTTCAGCTGCCCTCTTTTATCCTTATCTCTGTCTGATGGCAGTTTGTCCAAAGTAAACACAGAATGTTACATAACCTGCTAAAACACTGGAGTTTCACTCACAGCCTTGATTTACCAAATAGGACATTTTAAACTGCATTTATATTTGAACAAATAAGTGGTAAATCGTCTCACTGGATGCGATCAATTTTATCAATGTGAATTTAAATAGTACTCTTATTGAATGCTTTTACCTTTTTTATTGACCGTAAAAGATTATGATTGAAGAAACTGTCTAAATAAACATATGAATGGCAGGTAAAGTGTGTTCTCAGTGGATTTTTGTCACTCACATAATTTTTTCCCCTTCTGATTAATATGTTTTCCTCTTCTCCTACAGGTACACCATTTGACCCCACGTTCTTGTTGAGCCGCACTGTGTCCAATGTGATCTGCTGCCTGGTGTTTGGTGAACGCTTCAGTTATGAAGACAAGAGCTTCCTATACCTCCTCAACATCATATCTGAGATTTTAAAGTTCAACAGCAGCTTTAGGGGTCAGGTAAGGAGGTGGGAGGCTGACGGTCCTCCAAATACAGATCAGTGTTTATTTAAGTCTGGTTTTCATATGGCTTCCTTATGCTGTATTTTCATTGAGAGACAGAGCTGCAGTGTGCTGTGTGCTTCCCACCCACAGATGTACAACATCTTTCCCTGGCTCCTAGAGCATCTGCCTGGCAACCAGCATACTGTTTTTGCCCAGGTTGATGAGATGAGAGAGTTTATCAAAATGAAGATCCAAGAGCACAAAGAGACACTGGACTCCAGCTCCCCGCGGGACTATATTGACTGCTTTCTCATCCGAATGAATCAGGTTGGACAAAATTTCATTTGTTTTGTTTAGGGAACCTGAGACCACAACTTTCACCTTGGAGTTTCACCTGTTCATTAAAGTTACCACTTAACATTACCTCAGGTGCTAACGATGGTTTCCTTTGTGTAGCTGTGGCAGATCTAATTCTAAAATAAAATTATTTAATTAAATGTTGCTGACATCAGACAGAACTGTCGACTCCTTACACTGTGTTTGCATCTTAAACGGTTTTGCATCCTAAAACATGTTTACTCCTTTGTCCTCTCAGGAAAAGGACAATCCCACAACTGAGTTCAACTATGACAACTTGGTCGCTACAGTGATGAATCTCTTCCTGGCAGGAACAGAAACCACCAGCACCACCATCAGATATGCCCTCGGTGTGCTGGTCAAATATCCCAACATACAGGGTAGGTCCCCTGACCTGACACAGCGATCTGATTTTGACCAGTTCTATTATGGTTGAGAACTGAATAATTCTAACCTTTTGTGGGGTCCCATGTTCGGGCAGCAAATTTGCGTTTCTTAGGTTGGTGAAGGCATGACCTGTCCTACTCTTCCGCTGATTGGCTTCATAGCAATGTTGGTTAGGTTTAGTCAAGAGGACTGAGACTGGTTAGGGTTGGGTTAAGTTGAAAGAGAAACAGGGCGGCACGGTGGTGTGGTGGTTAGCACTGTCGCCTCACAGCAAGAGGGTTCCTGGTTCGATGTCGGGTGTGGGAGCCCTTCTGTGCAGAGTTTGCATGATCTCCCCGTGTCAGCGTGGGTTTTCTCCGGGTACTCCGGCTTCCTCCCACAGTCCAAAGACATGTAGGTTGGGGACTAGGTTAACTGGTGACTCTAAATTGTCCATAGGTGTGAATGGTTGTCTGTCTCTATGCGTCAGCCCTGCGATAGTCTGGCGACCTGTCCAGGGTGTACCCTGCCTCTCAATGTCAGCTGGCTTCAGTCCCCCCAGGACCCTCAAGAGGATAAGTGGTTTGAAAATGGATGGATGTGACTTTGCATTTACAAGGAAATTAACTTGATGATTTGGTGCATAACATTAAACACAGTGCAAAAATATCAAGACATATAAAAAATAGACTGATATTAAGAAAATGTAGAATAGAAGATGAAAAAAATAAATGTAAATATAAGAATACGTAGATATGTAAAGTTATTCTGTTTTTAAAGTGTACACTTGTACATGAATATCAATATGCAATTTATTGTCTGGGGGTTGTTAGAGTTTACAGTGTAATTGGGGTAATATATATATATATATATATATTTATACAACAGTTAGTTCCGGCCCTGCAATCTGATTGGTTGAGAGACAGTAAAACCGTGACGATATTGGAGTACAACATCACAGTTATTTCACTCTGTATGTATCACTCTGCCTCACAGCTGATTGCAATCAACAATCAAATCAAAACTGACGGTTAGTGTCAGTTAGGTCAGCAGTTGCGTTGTAGGCTAATTAATTCATCCACTGTCAAACAGCCAAAAATATGGATTTATTTCCTAAAATAAGTTTTGAATTGAACTATGAATGGTCAGCAGAGGAAGATGAGGGAGAGGAGAAGCTGAATCCATCTGAGCACACATCCAGGTTTGTCAGTGTTTCATCAGCGGAGCTCAGTGACTTGGAGAAAAGCAACATACTGTCAGATCAGAAGGCAGTCGGCTGTGCCTGTGAAGCGACAGTCCACCATGCAGTCACCAGAGACTTATTTCACCGGCTGCACAATTAATGGAAATGTGCAGATAAATGTGTATAAAGAGTAAGTGCCTGGCGCACCATGTCTGCGTTACATAGCAACGGTGACAGCGGAGTCCTGAGGGAACTATTTTTGTTGGCGGAAGACAAATAAAATACTTAAATTATCTATTTTGTCCTCATTTTTTCAACATTTCTTAATCAGCCTTGCTTATTTAACTGTTGAACTGTTGTATAAAAGCAATATCACACTCGAGCTCGTGTTGTTGTACTGTGATATCGTCACGGCTGTGTGACGATATCACAGTACAGCATCACTCCCTCTCGTGTGATATTGCTTAAATATATATATATATATATATATGTGCAAGAGTAGTAATGTAATGATGATGGTAGGATGAGGAGTGTGTCTGCAGAATGTCAAGAATGTCAGGGTAGGCCAGTCAGAGGCAGAGTGAGGCAGAGTAGGGTGGTCATGTCTTTGCTATCCTGGGAAAGGCACATTTGCATCTGTGAATGTGCCGTTATATTAAAAATAGAAAATTAAATTAAAAAAAGGAAAAAAAAAAGAACTGAATAATCCTCTACCTGCCTAATAACATGTTTTGTCGTCCTGTACAGAGAAAATGCAGCAGGAGATTGACACTGTGATCACAAAAGGCCTTTGCCCAAGCATGGAGAACAGGAAGTCCCTCCCTTTCACAGATGCAGTCATCCACGAGGTGCAGCGTTTTCTGGACATTGTTCCTTTCAGCCTCCCTCACTACGCACTCCACGACATCTCTTTCAGGGGTTACACAATTCCCAAGGTAATATTGATCTCAAAGGTATCATATTTATGAGATAAAAGATGGAGTATTACACTAACATCATATCTAACACCTCAATAGGACACTGTGATTATTCCCTTGTTGCACTCTGTGCTGAAAGAGGAAAAGCAATGGGCGACTCCCTGGTCCTTTAACCCCGAGCACTTCTTGGACCAAAATGGCAACTTCAAGAAAAATCCTGCTTTCCTGCCATTTGCTGCAGGTAAAACACCGCCCTCAGTTTGTACATCATCAGTTAATGTGAATATTTACAAACCTCATATTAATAATATTTTATTTGGTAGTCCTGTTTGTGCATGTGGTTTGTCCATGACTGATGGGTCATTTTATATGTCTTACTCATTGCCCCTCTTCAATCACAAGCAATATATTTTTTTTATTTACAGTGTTGTGTTTGTGATTGTGTCTCTCCACAGGGAAGAGAGCCTGTGTTGGCGAGTCTCTGGCTCGTATGGAGCTTTTTATCTTCCTGGTGTCACTGCTGCAAAATTTCACCCTTTCCTGCACCAAAGGCCCCGACAGTATTAACCTCATTCCTGAGTACAGCGGCTTTGCCAATTTGCCTCGCAGGTACCAGATCATTGCCACACCACGGTGAGAACAGGAGAAACGCTCAGACTCCTTCTATCGTCGCTTAAAGCATTCTGAGTCACTCACAAGGACACGTCTACAACACACATTGCTTCATTTTGACACAGCAGTGTTTGTGTACAGTTGCTGTTTGCTGATACCTGACTGATAACACAGGGAGTCTCATCAAACTCAAAATTTAAGCAACAGTTTATCTCCAGGCATAATTATAAATTGTCCTATCTTTTGCTTTGGTTGTCTTTTTCCATATATTTTTCATTTTGTATATATTTGTATGAATCAGTTCTTGGTTCCTGTGTTAATTGTGAACATGTTTTCTTTATAACAAGAAATTCTATTCTTTTTAACAAAAATATATTTTAAATAATATTGAGTTTGATTGGAAGAAGAGCTGCCCACTTGTGAAAATTAAAATGTTGAAAAACACTTGAAAATAAATCATTTCAGACTCTTTTTATTTGACAAATGTCATTTCATATCTTTGACCTATATATTTATAAGTCTAAGTTTGGTGGGAAATTGTAATAGTGACTGTTAATACCAAGGTCTTCAATCATCAAATGAATTGTCACTGTTAAAGCTCTCTGTTTCAATATTCTAATTTTAGCAAAAGGACACTCAACAACTGCATTTCAAGAAAATGTCCCTAATTGAGACAAATATTTCATCCTTTAATATGATATTAACTGTTAGCATTATAGCATAGATTGTGAATGACTGAGTATTTTTCTCATTTCTTCTAGATTGCTTTCACTGGGAGCTGGGTGCTCAAAACAGTATCATGATAAAAAATTTTGGAGTATGTATCTGCACCCAGACGAGAATAGTCACACTGCAGGTATTCGGCTATTTACACCCCTCCCTATGATGTGTTACTATGGATCCCACTGCGTTAAGTGATGGGCTACAGTAGTATTCATCATGCTGACGCTTCAAGGACGAGAGCCGTTAGGATTAGGGCAGTGGTAAGTGGTAAATTTACGAGAGAAAAAAAATCACAAATGTACTGCCAGAAAATCAAGTGACATAGTCAGTGTTGGGTAAGGGTTGCTTTAAAAGTAATCAAAGTACGTTACTGCGTTACTTTTAAAAAAGTAACCAGTTACTTTACTGCGTTACTCCCTGAGTAAAGTAACTCAATTACTTTAAAAGTACTTCCAACGTTACTCCCTGAGAAAAGTAACTCAAGCACTTTTAAAATACTTTTGAGTATTCTATGTTTCCTATTGGGCAATGGACCACAGGGCGCTAAGCCTACATTTTTTGTCTCCAAAAATTAAAGTTATGGACCACTTGCCCTTCACTGAGATCCAATTCTCCCATCACAGCCGTCACTTTGACCAGTAGAAACACAGAACGATCTGCTGCCGTAGACAACTGTATGACAACAACACCCCAGCATTTTTAATATTTCCTCTAGGGATGTTACCACACAGAGTAAAAGGGGGAAATGATGGTGTGAAACAGCAGA